GCTCGAGGCAAGCGCCCCCACCCAGCCCCGCTTCGCGCCACTCCCACCAATTCCAACCCAACGCGGCACTCTGGGCCGGCCGCCTGTGCGCCGGGTGCGGGAGCCGGGTGACGCTTCGGCTCGGGGCTTGCGGACGACAGGACAGAGGCGACTCCCGACCGAGGCACACCTTGGACCTGGAAGAAAAGTTACCTGGCACGGCTCGTGCTGTCCCTAAGCAGTTGACGCAGCACGGCGCGTGCAGCCCCCGGGGCCACAGAGGCAAGAGAGACCAAGGGCCACGGTGCCCTTCCGTGGAGTGCGCAGAAAAGGGTAAGACTCGGCGTGTGTGGCCCCCCAGGAGCCGCGATGGTGGGCACTTTAAGGACCGGGCACCCAGGGCAGCGGTGCGCGGGCCCCGGACAACCTCGCACTTAAACCGCCCCGAGGGAAAGGAGGTGACGCAGCGCGAGACCCCACCAGGCGGCAGCGCCCGCGCACAGACCCAGGACTGGAGCGCACAGGGACTTGAAAAGCCGGCGCGGGCGGACAGAGGAGCAGCGGCGCGCGGGGCGGCTGGGGAGGGCAGCCGGGACGGGAAGGGCCAGGGGACGGCGATGGTTGAGGGCTTTGCTCGCGCGGCCCAGGCACACGCGATCCGAGCCCTGGGGCCCCCGAGCCGAGCGCCAGGGCACGCGGTGTGGCGGCGCTCGCTGCCGCCCGCCCACTCCCCGCCCCGCGCACAGTCCCCTCCCTCGATCCCGCCTCCCGCCCCGACTCCCTCCCTGCGCGGGTGCCGCGCCGCGCTCCCGGCGCACTCCGAGCCCGGTGGGGACCTGGACGCGGAGGCGGGGCGGCCCTGGGCCCGAGTGCGGGAACGGAGCCCGGCCTCGGGGCCCAAGTTTGGCTTCGGCTCCTGGAGGCCCCCGCGGGCGTCTCGGACGCCTGCAGCTCCCGCCCGCGTCCTCGTCCCGGACTCGCCGGCTGCCGGGGGACCGAAGCCACGGCCCGGCCAACTCCAAGGCGGGGACGCCGCGACGGGAACTTGAGGTGGGAACTTTGCGCTCCGCAGCCTCGCCGGGCGGACCGGACCCCGCGCCTGCAAACTCGGGCGCGGGGGAGCTGCACGTGGTGTGGCGCGGACTCCGCTGCGGGGATCTTGAAATCCGCCTGCAGGGAGCCTCGGTAGGCTGAGAACCCGGGAGCAGCCGCGGGTGGCAGCGTGGAGCGCGCTCGCCAACGCACAGTGCGGGTCCGGCCTCGGGTCTTCCCCCGGGATGCGGGATACTTAATGCGGGACGTTCTCCCGCGTGCCCCGGCGGGGGCCGCATCCTGATTGCGGGCAGAAGCGAGTCGGGGCCCTGACCCCGGATCGGGCGAGGCGGGGATGGGGAGTGGGCGGCGGGGGACGTCTGTCACTTGTGCATTCGCCTCATCGTGAGGCACTGGGCGGTGCATCCAGCCCAGTGGGCCCTGGCCGGCGTTCTCGGACCGTGAACTCCACGAGCGTCTCTGAGTGCCTGCTGTACCTTGGGAATACCGATGCCCCAGTATCTGACAGAGAAGGCGGTGGTCTCAGCCTCAGGGACGCCATCCCAAAGGGGACGCAGCCTGGGTGCACTGGAGCCTTTGGATGGGGAAGGAAAGAGTTGGTTCATTCGTTCGTTCATTCATTCATGCCTTGACAAAAGATCCGGGGAGCACCTGCTATGGGCGACTCGCCCTACCAAGTGCTCCACAAGCTTTTGTTTAGCAAACATCCGCTGTTCTGGGGAGGGATCGGTGAACCAGAGGGGGGGGGGTGGGTGCAGCCTTCCCGCAGCCTGGACAAGGTAGCCATTAAGACCCAGGCCCTCCCTTGGGAGGTCACAGTCTGCTTGGGCAGCCGCCCCTGCAGGCCCTGTGAGCAGCTCCTGGCTGGATTGGGTTTTGGATGGAAAGGGAAGGTCTTGATAAAGCTCCATAGGGGAGGGTGGTAATGGGGTAGGGGGTGATGAGCATCAATCTCCCAGTCCTGGGGGGGGGGGGCGGGCTCCCGCCAGTGGGGGTTGCAGTGGACTGTCCACTCGGCAGGATTTTCTTAAGCGCTTGCTCTTCTTAAGCACCTACAGGGTGCCAGGCACCCAAGGTACCCAGGTGGATGTGCTGACACCTGAGATAGTGCAGGGGAAGCGGGGTGGGGGGGGGGACAGGAACTGGGCTGATTCATCGCGGGGAGCAGGGGGGGCTGCTTCTGTCAATCTCAGGAGACTTTGATGTGCTAGGCTGTCTCTGACACCCCACGCACAGCTGCAGGGGGCTCAGGGGCACGTGGGGCAGGTCCAGGGGTGGGGTCAGGGACTGGCAACTGACCAGAGTGTGCCACCTCTCTTGGGTGGATCTCTCTGGCTTGCTAGCCCGGAGCCCTACCAGAGGCACCTGCTGAGTGGAAAGGGAGGAAAGGTTTGAAAGACGGGCGTGAGTTGTGGCCCCTGGGGACGGCCCGTTCCAGCAGAAAAATATCTGCTGTGGGGCACGCTCCAAACCTGGAGGGAACTGTGCGTGCGCTGGAAATCAGACAGCCCCCGGTCCATCTCTTGAGACCTGGGGATCCAGGCTGCGGGCGCCCTGGAAGCAGACTGGGCAGCTCAGGGAGCCCCTCTAAGCAGACACACAGCTGGGCTCCGGGAACAGAAGCACAGCGTGTGTCCTGGACACGGGGCCACGTCCCTCCCCACCCCAGGACTAAGGGCTTCACCCCGGGACCCCTGCAGTGCGTCCTGGCTGGGCTCCATTCTCCATGTCCTTTCCAAATAGGTGGTACAGAGTCAGCACCTCCGGGTGCCAGCGGTATGGAGGCCTGGGACTCCGTTCTTGGTTGATTCATTAAACCTGGAAATGGAGTTCTTGGGTAGAAACCATGGCTGGCCAACCCCGTCTACATAGAGTTGCTGGATGCTGGCGCCCCGTCGCTGCCGGCCGGCTTCATGACCATCCCCACAGTGGGAACACACAGTGGATTTGCTCCAGGTAGGGGCTGACGTGGGCCCAGGATTGCCCCCTGCTCCATGGCGATTTTTCCCTCGGACCTGCACCTCCCCAGGCCAGCGGCAGCTTCAAGCGCATTCCACTCCTGAGCAAGTGCCCCCCTTCCTGCTCTGCCAAGGTCCCGGCTGTCCCCCTCCCCAAAGCCTGGTCTTCTGCTTACACCTGAGTTCCCAGATTCTGGGCTACAAGGAGACAGACAGGCTCAACTCCTGGCTGCAGCCCGCACACATCTCCCGGCTGACGGCACACGTGTGTTTCCTGTGACTTTGCCAGCAGCAGGGGGCCGGGACCCCAGAGGCAGCCTGTCTTTTGTATGGGAGGGCTCTGGCTCTTCTCATCCTGAGCAGGTAAGAGATGGAGGGAAGAGCACAGCTCCTAGCACTTAACACCCCCCAGGGGCGTGGCCCTAGTTTCCAGGAAGCCGGGCTGAAGCCCGGGATGATTGGATTGTGTCGAGGACGGACGGCCAGTGGCTGAGGAAGACAGATTGCCCACGCGGGCGCAGCAGCTCGTGGAGGCCCGGCAGGCCAGGACCTGGGCCAGGCTAATGGCTGGATCTGTTTTGATTAACGATTTAATTGGGGATTAATGCAGCATGACCCGCCTCTGAGTCAGCGCAGCCAGGAGCCCTAATCCTGACAGATGGAGCTGCCCTGGCCATGAGGCGTGCAGGGCACGGGAGAGCAGGTGGAGGGAGGCGGATTGGGACCCCTGGCCGGAGTTAGGCGGTGACACAGGTGCAGGAGGAGGAACCCACAGCATCAGGGAGCACAGGTTCCTTGGCAGGGAGGAGGTTCCCTTCAGCCTGTGTCAGCGCACATTTGTCCCCGTAGAGACCCAGGGTCAGAAGTCCAAATGGGCTCAGACCAAGGCGTCTTCTCGGGCAGGAGCCGTCCCCTGGCTCCCGCAGCATGGAGAGGCCGGGCTGCTGCCTGGGCTTCCCTCCCCACATCCCCTTCCCAGAGGCCCAAGTGGCGACGGAAAGTTGAACAAGAGGAGAGCTTCTGTTGATTTCTCCCACTGCAGAACAGGGATGAACATGTGCCCCACGTCCCCCGGCCTGGGCAGTCACCTGCTCCCCTCTATCAAGAGCGTGTCCACAGAGAATAGACTAGAGACCCCGCCCCTGGCTCGGAGCAGGTGGCAGAGACATCACCCCCACCACCAGGAGGAGCGAGTGGTCCCGGGAGGCTGAGGAATGCAGGCTCAGAGCTGTGGCGTGGAGGCCCACAGACCCTGGCTGGAGTCTGCTTTGTGTTGTCGCTTCATGGAGCCTTGATTTCCTCATCTGTAAAATGGGGGCATTTGTGATGGTGCCCGGCCTTCAGGGTGCGCCGTCGGCTCACGCACGGTGCTCACGCCTGGTGAGTGCGCCTGCCAGCGAGGCTGTGGTTGTTGTGATTGATAACACCTGCAGGTCACACTGCAGCAGGCCCTCTCAGAAGACGCCCGAGCGCCCCCCGTCGGAAGCCGTGAGCAGCAGACAGGAGGAGCAGAGTTGAGCGAGGCCAGCAGTTTGTTGAAAGCCTGGAGGGAGCCCAAGCAGTAGTTTAGCAGCCGAGACGAAGGCAGGATGGTTTCCAGCTCTCTGTGCTGTCCTCGATGGGATGTGGCTACAGAGGCGGGCAGTCAGCGGACCTCCCGCAGCCCTGGGAGGGCGGCACGATCATGCTCAACTTGCAGGGGACGAAACGGAGCCAGGGACACGTGGCAGCAGAAGGCCGGCTCAGGTCACAGAGGTGACCCCTCCCCGCCCCATCACACCTGCTGGCTGGCCTCGTGGGCGGGGTGGGGGGGCTGCCATCCAGACCTCCCAGGGCTATGCCATCACTTACCTCTGGAATGTGCACTCTGCCCTGGGCGGGAGCTTGTGAGAAAGGAGGAGAAGTCAGATGGGGAGTTGGGGAGGGGGGTAGGTGGGGAGGAGGGGGAGAGGGTGGATGGAGAGTGGGGGAGGAGTTGGGTGGGGAGGAGGGGCTCCTCTGGCTCATCCAGGAGAAGGCGATGAGGGCAGCCTCTGCAGAAGGTGCCTCTCACCAGCCACAAGGGTGCAGCTGCCCCTAGAAAGCTCTTCCACGCAGTGGTACCCACAGAGCCTTCCAGAGCCCCAGGGGACTGAGAAGTGGCGCGGAGGACAGGGACTCCTGCCAGTGCCCAGAGCGGCTCTTGCACCTGCAGCCCCTGGGGCATCGCTAGCCGCCTCCCTTTTCTCTGGAACCTTCGAGTCCTAAGAACCTCTGCAGGGGGCTTTGGAAATGCTGGCTCCTGGGATGCTGGGTGAGGCGGTCTGAGGAGGACCCCAGGAATCCAGACCCCTGCAGAGCCCACGGGGCCGGGTGGGTGTTGGTTCCGTGTGCTGCGTGTTTCCATTTGAGCCTGCATACAGCTCAGGGTGGTGAGAGCCACGCCCCTCCCCCAGCCCTCTCCCTCCCTGCCCGCGCCCGGCTGGCCTGTCTCTCTCTTTCCTCCTCTGTGCAGTCCCCTGCTCTTCCATGCACCGTCCTAGAGATCCTTCAGCGCTTCCGTCCTCGTGGGAACCGCGACATTGTGTGTGTTCATTTGCATAAACGGCATAGTGCTATAGCTTCTCTCTTTCCACTCAGCACCACGTTTTAAAGACCAAGACGTGTTGCTAAACCTACATCTTGTTCACTGCTTCAATCTGCAGGATTCCACCATCTGTATCTGTCACAACTCGCTTATCCATTCCCTGGGGGCAGACACGAGGGGACCCCTCCCCCAAGTGCCACAAGCTACACAGGACACACGTTCTTGTGCCTTGTTCCTCTGTAAGTGATGTATTGCCGACAGCGTCTTCTGCAGCCCTGGGGTTCCTGGGACCTGCGGAAGACAGCTTGCATTCATCCCAGCTTTCCCAGCCCCCAGCCATGCGCTCTGGACGTCAGACAATGCTGGGTTCGGGTCTCAGTGGGTCAGATCAGAGAATGAGGCACTGTTGTGGCTGGTGGGGGTGGGGGTGTGGATGAGACCCTCATAGCTAATAATACGGAAGCATCTGTTGAAAGTTCACCGTGTGCCAGGCATGGGGCAAGCGTGTCACTGTGTCGCTTGCTTTCATCCTCGCCTTCATTGAAGGGGGCAAGAGCTATTCTCATCCCCATTTTATGGATGAAGAAACTGAGTCACAAAGGTGAGACAGGTCTTGAGCCCAATAGCACGGGGCCTTCTGCCTCCCCCAGACTGAGAAGCGCCAACCCCACCAGCGCTGCACGCCTCTCCTGCTGGAGTGAATGGCCTCTGGTGGGGGCTCCATGACCCGCGCTGGCCGTCTCACAGTGCTGGGGGCCGGAGGGTTGAAATGGTCCCATCGGGCTGAAGAGGCCGCCACCTTCCTGTCTCCGCATTCAAAGCCAGGGACGAAGTCCTTCTCACTCTGACCACGTGGAGGGATGCCTGCGGGGGTCGGGCACCGAGATAACCCAGGTGATCTCCCGGCCTCAGAGTCAGCTGCCCGGCAACCTGAATTCCCTGGGTAACCATGGTCCTCGCAGGTCCCAGGGATTAGGGTTGCTTTGCCTACCCAGTCCCTCCAGGGGTGCGTGCCTGCGCTGATCACCTGGGCCTGCTGTGGACCCAGCCTCGGCAGTGGCACCAGTCAGACCCCTGCTGCTGGGCTTCACCCAGCCAGGTCACAGCTACACACATGTACTCACACACATGCACACATACATATACACACATGCACATATGCACACATATACACACATGCACACATATGCCCACGCTCACGCTCATAACACACATGCACACACACCCATGCACACATGCACACACTCTCACACATGCACACATACATGTACTCACACGCATAACAAACATACACTTGTGCACACACATACACACATGCACTCACACACGCGCTCACACGCACACACACTCATCAGATCAGCTTTGGTAATCCACTGCCCCCATCCCCAGCGAGATGCCTCATCCCTCACCCCACACAGCCGCATAGGCGCTCTTGCAGGGCTCGCCATAGCGCCACCTACCTGTCACCTCCACAAAGGCACCCTGCGATCCTGATCGTCTTCCCCTCACCCGCTGCTCATCCCCCAAGTGTCCCGCCTCCTCTTCACCTTGAATTCGTCCAGGTCTTCACCACCCCCCACCTCCCGGCTCAGCCTCCATCGTCTGTTTCCAGAATGACCACAGCAGCCCCCAGCCTGGCTGAGACACACTCCCCTAGGTACTGCAGCCGAGGGGCTGGCTCCTTCCTACCCATGGGTCAGCCCTTATCTCCTCCTCCAGGAAGCCCCCCCTGAACCATCCAGCTAGTGCTGTCCGCCCCGTTATCATCCATCTCCATCCATCGCCTTGCCCCGTTCCATCACAGCCCTCACTGCGGCCTCCCTCTTCATGCTGCCTTTGGAGACTGCCCCGGGGAGCCTGCACTCCATCAGGACAGGTGAGGGTTGTCTTGTCCTCCGCCAGCCCGGCACAGGGTCTGGGACAGGGTCTGGCACAGGGTGAGCAGTAACTACTGAATGAATGGATGAGCACTCCCCCAGGACCTCTCATTCCCCCATCGCAGCCCCCTTCTCCAACGGCTTCCTCTTCCTGAGGACTCAAAGGCCCTCGCTGGCAAAGTTCCCAAAAGGCAGCAAGCTCGTAGGACCCACTCTGCCGAGCAGAGAGAGCCCAGGCTTCCCGTGAGGGCCCCGGCTGGCAGGAAGCCGCATCCTCGTGCGGAAGCGTGGACTCTGGGGTCCAGGGAGGCCACGGGACTGTGCCCGTTCCTGGGCAGCACTTCCCCGGGGGATCCTGATCTCACAAGGGGGGGTGTGTGGCATCTTGAGCTCCCGTTGCTGAGCAGGCTACAGAGGGTGGGGGTGAGGGCCGGAGCTTGGCGCAGGGAAGCCGGGAGGGAGGGCCGGAGGGGATGCCGGCCTGAGGCTCCTGGAGCCTTCAGGAGCGATGTGTGGCTTTGCCTCCACCGTCATTCTTGCCAGACAGAGCTGTCTGATTCCCCGTCTTTGGTGGCAAAGATAAAGCAGCGAGCAGAGAGGAACGCTCCCGCTAAGAGCAGCGCTGAAGAGAGATTATTCCCACGCCTCCGAGGGATCCTGGCAGGCTTTGCCGGAGGAAATGCGTTCCAATTTTAGGCGAAGTTAAAAACGCTCTGAGCGCTCAAAAATCAAAAGCCATCTTTATTTCACACACAGGCACACCGGAGTTGTCCCAGAGCCGGTCTGTGAAACTGGCTTTCCCCAGAGACGAGTGAGTGGAGGACGGTGGGCTTTTAGGCAGCGTTTCCTGGTGGGGGCTCCGCCAGGAGCCCCTGTTAAAACCCTGCTTCTCATCCCCGCAGCGGAGTGGGGGGCGCCCTGTGCCTGTCCACAGCTCCGGTGGACGCTGGGGTAATGGGACGGGCTTCCCTTTGGAGCTGATGGGCCTTGGGACGGAACGGAGCATGATGGTTGTTTTAAAACGCCAGCCGCGGCAGCCATTGGAAGGTGAACCAAGGGCAAAAGGAAGACCTTTCTCTCTGTCTCTCTCTCTCACTGTCCACTCTGCCTGTCAAAAAAAAAAAAAAAAAAAAAAAAAAAAAAAAAGCCCAGCCTCTGATTCTTACCGTTTCTCTCGGCGTCAGCTTAATCCCGGGAACCTCTGTTGCCATAATCCAGAGATCTCTAGCCCCCCTGTGCCTATGGGGCCAGAAAGGGAGGCAGAGTGGGCGTGAGGAAGACAACAGGGAGCCCTGGCGACTGCGGTGGGCTGGAGGGCAGCCATTGCTCAGAAGGCACCGAGCCCAATGTTGCCAGATAATTCTGATTTTTTAAGAAAAGCCAAGAATATGGATTTTTTTTGCACAAAATTTCTCAATTTTCGAAAGCTTCTCCAAGCCAAGCAAAATATTTGCTGGATTTGTGGCTGAACCAAAGTCTGTCCCTGAGCTAGTGATGAAGAGGCGCTCTCGATCGCGTCACAAGAGCCCTCAGCTAGGAGAGCTGGGCACGAGGGGTCGTGCGAGCCGAGGCTTGGAGCTCAGTCACCTGCGAGTGCCCTCATCAGCAAGAAATGGCCTCCCGGGGGGCACTTGTCTGAGCTCTCCCACCGCGGGCCCAGCGGCTCGGAGATGCCCCAGGGAGCCAGCCGTCCAGTGAAGGAGCCAGGCCAGCAGGGACGCTTCCCGCGTGGGCGGTCGGTGCCATGGAGACGGAGGCACCACTTGTAAAGGATCGGGTGCTAGGCTTAGCGGGAAGAGCCAAGGAGGGCTTCCTGGAGGAACGGGCATGGCCACTTCCCTCCTGGCTGCTGCTTGACATGAGCAAAGGCAGCTCTGTGTCACGGCTGTGCTGCCTTTGTTCCTGGTCTCCTGTCCGTGGCGAGTGATATCTGCGTCCCACTGAGGGAAACAAGGCAAGGCTGGGAGGACGGAGCGCCTCCCGTGTGCCGGGAACGGCTCTGAGGCACATGACTCACTCAGTCTCTCAGCTATCCTGTGCGAAGGGTCCATGGTTATACCCATTTTACAGATGAGGATGCAGAGGCACATCAAGGCTGTCCAGGCCATGTGGCTCCAAAGTCTTATTTGTAGCCAGCACGTCAGGACCCCACCCCCTTGGTATCACAGAGTGTGGGGCCGGATTGTCCCCATCATAGGGGGTGGTCCTCTGTGGCATTCCTGGTTTCTACCCCCTGGATGCCAGTAACGCCCCCCAGTCATGGGCCTGTCCCCTGGGGAACAAATGCTCCTGCTTGGTCTACACTAAACTGCCTTCCCTTGCTAATTAAACCCCAACGGAAAGGTTGGGTTCCTTCTTAAACGGGGACCACGCCAGGTTCCCCACACTGATGCTTCCCCAGTGCGTACAGCTGTGCCTACACAGCGGTGCTCAGAGGTGGATTTGCAAGTGTGAAGTTAGGATTGTGTTTTAATTTATTTCATTTATTTGAAAGACAGAGTGACGCAGAGGGAGGGACAGAGAGAAAGATCTTCCATCTACTGGCTCACTCCCCAAATGGCCACAATGGCCGGGGCTGGGCCAGGCTGAAACCAGGAGCCAGGAACTCCATCTGGGTCTCCCATGTGGACGCAGGGGCCCAAGCACTGGCGCCGTCTTCCGCTGCCTTCCCAGGCCACAGCAGGGAGCTGGGTCAGAAGCAGAGCAGCCGGGATTGGAGCCGGCTCTGCACTACAGGATGCTGGTGTCACACGTGGCAGCTTAACTCGCTGTGCCCGGTGCTGCCCCCCGCAGTCAGGGTTAGTGAGTGAGTGGCAGCTCGGGCTGCCGTGAGAAAATGCCGCACACCGGGTGGCTTAAACAGCAGGCTTTAGCTTCTCACTGGTCTGGAGGCTGGAAGCTGGGGAGCAGGTGCCTCATAGCCACGTTCTGGGGAGGGCTCCCTTCCAGGATAACAGACCCGATTTCTTGCAGTGGCCTCGCGGGACCCAGAGGGCTCCCTGGTGTCTCTTCCTCTTTTACCACGAGCACCAATGCCGCCATGGCGGCTCCCCTCTCATCCCCTCACCTGAACCTGGCCACCTCCCAAACCCCGCCTCTAAGCCCCTGACACTGGGGGTTAGGGCTTCAGTCTGGGCCAAGACGCACGGGGCAGGGAGGGGGCCAAGGTGGAAGGGGGCAGGGAGAAGAGGGGGGACTTGGCAGTGTCTGCAGAGGGGCACTGGGGGCTCACGGAGGTCTCCCCCGTCTCCCCAGGCCCGAGAGGGATGTGAAGGCCCACAATGACCCTGTTACCGGGAGACAACTCCGACTACGACTACAGCGCCCTGAGCTGTACCTCGGACGCCTCCCTCCACCCGGCCTTCTTCCCGCAGGGCCAACCCATCAAGGGCGTGTTCTACCGCAGGGCCCAGTGCCTGCGGCCCCAGGCGGACCCCCGCCAGCCTAGCCCGCCGGGGGACCGCCGCCGGCAGATCATCATCAACGTGGGGGGCATCAAGTACTCGCTGCCCTGGACCACGCTGGACGAGTTCCCGCTCACGCGGCTGGGCCAGCTCAAGGCCTGCACCAACTTCGACGACATCCTCAACGTGTGCGATGACTACGACGTGACCTGCAACGAGTTCTTCTTCGACCGCAACCCGGGGGCCTTCGGCACCATCCTCACCTTCCTGCGGGCCGGCAAGCTGCGGCTGCTGCGGGAGATGTGCGCGCTGTCCTTCCAGGAGGAGCTGCTCTACTGGGGCATCGCCGAGGACCAGCTGGACGGCTGCTGCAGGCGCCGCTACCTGCAGAAGATCGAGGAGTTCGCCGAGATGGTGGAGCGGGAGGAAGACGACGACCCACTGGACAGCGACGGCCGCGACAGCGAGGGCCCGGCCCCCGGCGCCGGCCGCCTGGGCCGCTGCATGCGGAGACTGCGCGACATGGTGGAGAGGCCGCACTCGGGGCTGCCGGGCAAGGTGTTCGCCTGCCTGTCGGTGCTCTTTGTCACCGTCACGGCCGTCAACCTCTCGGTCAGCACCTTGCCCAGCCTCAGGGAGGAGGAGGAGCAGGTAAGAGACTCCACGCGGTGAGAGAAGGTGGAGCCCTCTCCCTCGCCTTCAGCCCACCCTTGTCCCCTCCTCCGAGAGGCCCGCCCTGACTGCACCCTGGTCTCTCCTGACAAGGCGGTGTGCTTGCACGTCTGTTGCTGGCCTCCCTGTTAATATGCAGGTGCCACAGGGCTGTCTGCCACGCCTATCCTGATGCACCCTCCCCCCAGGCCTGCTCTGTTTTAGAACAGGGTTCAGGGGCTGCTGCTGTGGCATAGTGGGTAAAGCCTCCGCCTGCAGTGCCGGCATCCCATATGGTTCGAGTCCCAGCAGCTCCACTTCCGATCCAGCTCTCTGCTGTGGCCTGGGAAAGCAGTAGAAGATGGCCCAGGTCCCCTGGACCTGTGTGTGAGACCTGGAAGAAGCTCCTGGCTCCTGGCTTCAGATCGGCTCAGCTCTGGCCACTGTGGCCATTTGGGGAGTGAACCAGTGGATGGAAGACTTCTCTCTCTCTTTCTCTCTGCCTCTGCGTCTCTGTAACTCTACAATTCAAACAAATAAATCTTAAAAAAAAAAAAAGAAGAAGAAGAAGAACAGAGTTCAGCACAGACAAAGCCTCAGTCACTGGCTTGGTTTTGTTTTGTTTGGTTTTTATTTTGCAGGTAGAGTTATAGACAGTGAGAGAGACAGAGAGAAAGGTCTTCCTTCCATTGGTTCACTCCCCAAATGGCCGCTATGGCCGGCACTGCGCCGATCCGAAGCCAGGAGCCAGGTACTTCTTCCTGGCCTCCCATGTGGGTGCAGGGCCCAAGCACTTGGGTCATCCTCTACTGCACTCCCAGGCCACAGCAGAGAGCTGGACTGGAAGAGGAGCAACCGGGACAGAATCCGGCGCCCATAAGGGATGCCGGTGCCACAGGCGGAGGATTAACCAAGTGAGCCATGGTGCTGGCCCCTTGGTTTTGTTTTTTTGGTTTTGTTTTGTTTTGTTTTGTTTTGTTTTGTTTTGTTTTACAGGCAGAGTGGATAGTGAGAGAGAGAGAGAGACAGAGAGAAAGGTCTTCCTTTGCCGTTGGTTCACCCTCCAATGGCCGCCGCGGCCAGCGCACTGCGGCCAGCGCACTGCGCTGATCCAATGGCAAGAGCCAGGTACTTATCCTGGTCTCCCATGGGGTGCAGGGCCCAAGCACTTGGGCCATCCTCCACTGCACTCCCGGGCCACAGCAGAGAGCTGGCCTGGAAGAGGGGCAACCGGGAGAGAATCCGGTGCTCCGACCAGGACTAGAACCCGGTGTGCCGGCGCCACAAGGTGGAGGATTAGCCTAGTGAGCCACAGCACCGGCGGTTTTGTTTTAATTAATTAATTTATTTAAAGTTAGAGCATGACAGATAGAGAAAGCTTCTACTCCCTCACCATCCAGCTGCCTGCAAAAGGCTGGAGCTGGGCCAGGCTGCAGCCAGGACCCGGGAGCCAGGAGCCAGGAGCCAGGAGCCCTCAGAGCCTCCCGTGTGGGTGGCAGGAGCCTAAGTGCCAGAGCCATCACCGCTGCCTCCCAGGGTCACAGTGGCCAGAAGTGGAGTCAGGGGCTGGAGCCGGAGTCAAACCCGGGCACGCCCGTGTGGGACCCAGGTGTCTTGATTGGCATATTTTTTAAAATATTTGAGAGGTAGAGTTACAGAGAAGGAAAGACAGAGAGAGAGGTCTTCCATCTGCTGGTTCCCTCCCCAAATGACCACAATAGCCAGAGCTGGGCCGATCCGAAGCCAGGAGCCAGGAGCTTCTCCCAGGTCTCCCACACGGATGCAGGGGCCCAAGGATTTGGGCCATCTTCTACTGCTTTCCCAGGCCACAGCAGAGAGCTGGATCAGAAGAGGAGTAGCCTGGACACGAACCTGTGCCCATATGGGATGCCGGCACCACAGATGAGGCTTAGCCCACTACACCACAGTGCCAGCCCTGATTGGCATCTTAAGCATTAGACTAAGCAGCCGCCCCAGTCACTGGTTGTTGAATGGACAAATGGTGCCATCGAGGCCATGCCGGGCCCTCATGGATGTCACCAGCATTCATCTCACCAGCTCAGTCCTTTCCCAGCCTCCTGAACTCCCTCCTCTAAACAGCCCAGACATGTTTCCTGCGTCTCCAAAGTCATTGTCATTGATCCGGGCACCCGAGAAGCTCTTTGTGTTCAATGAGGGGCTGGGTGTAGACGACTCAGTCTCTGTCTCACTCTGGGGGTGCTCCCTTCTAAGTGCTCAAATAGGAGCCGGGAGCTGGGCTGCCTGCTCTGCCTGCATTTTACCTCCTCAGCAAAGCCCCCAGCAACCTGGGGGGGTGGGGGGGAAGCTCTTACCCCACCTGATAGAGGAGGACACTGGGGCAGAGCAGCCCAGCCAGGTCCACGTCTGTGCCCTTAAACATGGAAGGGCGTGTCCCCAGGCTGGAGACCCAACAGAGCCCCGCAGAAGAACATGGGACCTTCATAAAGCTGACAGGAAATGCGTATTATGAAAGCAAAAGCGCATGCGTGGATTTCAAGAAATGCTGCACCAAAGTAAACATCTTTTAATTCTGCTTCCCACAAACTTTTTGAAGTACCCTTGTGTGATTGGCTCACACAGTGTTTCCCAAAAATCTGGCTTGATTGCCAACATTTAAAAGTCAGGTGTTTTCCATAGAAAAATCCACACTTTTAGCTTCTCTTAAAAACCACCAGGTTGGGCCTCCTGGCCTGTGGTCCTGCACGGGGAGCCCAGTGCACTGGCGCATCCCCTCCAGTTCAGCTGTTGGGTTGGGACCCCTGCCCTGCACGTGGGGGCTCTGGACGCAAGTGTTGGGAAACACTCCAAGGTCTCTTACAAGCGCAGGTTGTATGGGCGTTGGAGAAACAGGTAAGTCGTGAAAACGTAACAAAGATACCATGCCAGCCTGCATTTATTGAGCACTGACTGTGTACCCTACGTGGGCTGTGTGCTGTACGTGTATTCTCTGACTTAACATCAGAAATACCCCACAGGAGGCTGCTCCTGTATGTTATAAAGGAAGTAGCATGAACTTTTTTTAAAAAGATTTATTTATTTATTTGGAAGGCAGAGATAGAGAAGAAGAGAGAGAGAGAGAGAGATCTTTCATCTGCTGGTTGACTCCCCCAGATGGCCACAACAGCCGGGGCTGGGTCAGGTGGGAGCCAGGAGCCAGGAGCTTCTCCCTGGTCTCCCGCGTGGGTGCAGGGGCCCACGCCCCCGGGCCAGCTTCGCTGCTGTCACAGCCCACAGAGCATTTTCTTTGTATCGGAGCCGCACAGCACTTACATCAGCCTTTTCCTGCGTACCCGACATCTCCCGCCAGAGACGTGCCGTAAAACTGGAGGTTGCCCGCTGCTCTTGAAAGCACAGGCGAGGCAGCCTTAGCCTGGATCGGCCTGGCAGGGGGTGGGGGTGGGGGGTGATGGGGGTGCCGAGCACGACCACCAAGCTCTCCAGGGGTCCCCCCACCCACTTACCCTTTGCCTGCCTGGCCCTGGTGGCCATTGCATTTGCACCCCCACCTGAACCCCATCCAAGGTTCTTCTAGTTCATTCCCAGAGCAGCCATGCACCGGGCACTTGCTGTGTGCCTGGTTTTTCCAGGCAGCAAACGGCATGCACGAACTTCCCTGCCCCGTGGGGCTGTGACCTCTGCACGGCAGTGGGCGCAGGGGACAAGCAGGAAGCCTGATAAACAGGAACATACAACACCTGCAAAGGACCAGATGGGGATACAGAAAGTTGGGGTGCAGAAAAAGGTGGGATTTTTTCATCTGAGGGGTCCCAGGCGGTCCTTGTGGATAATGATGACTGAAGCCAGGAGCTGGAGGGAGGGAAGGCAGGAGCCAAGGGGGTGTTTGAGGAGTGGGGGGGGGGGGGTGTCCAGTGAAGAGGCAGAGTGGCTTGAGTTGGGGGCTAGAGGAATGAGGCGGAAGCCTGCGAGGCTGGAGCAGGGGAGCAGGGGTGGGGGGAGGACGTCAGAGAGGTGCTGGATGGACAGACAGCTCAGGACTCCGTCCCCCGGGGCCTGAGCAGAGGAGACCCACTTGAGCTCTGGGTGTCCCCCTGGCTGGTGTGATATGGAAAGAGGGCTTTAGGGATGCAGGAGCCCAGGAGGAGGTGACCACAGCTGTGCAGGCGGGCAGGGGCCGGGGACAGAGAGAAGTGGCTTGATGCTGGCAAAAGCTCCTGGACAAAAGGAGTTAAAAGACGAAGCACATTTCCCAGGGGGCCCATCGGGAGGTGTGTGAGAGGTGCGGAGGATGAGGCCATGAGGTCTCGTCCCCAGCAACAGGAAGGCACAGGTGGCCTCCTCTAAAGGGGTGACAGGCAACCAGGCAGGTGGGCAGGAGAGACTGGGCGGGGCTCAGACGGGAGGCAGACCGCCCAGGGGCCGCGGTGCGGCTGGAGAAATGAGGCGTGGTGGTGCCCGACGCCCTGGGCCTAGGAGTGAACCTAACTATAGCTGCGAGGACCCGGGGCAGGCCGGGGTCACCTGCTGCCCAGGGCAGGGCTCACCGCGAGGCCTCTCCCTCCCCGCCAGGGCCAGTGCTCGCAGATGTGCCGCAACGTGTTCATCGTGGAGTCGGTGTGCGTGGGCTGGTTCTCGCTCGAGTTCTTCCTGCGCTTCATCCAGGCGCCCAGCAAGTTCGCTTTCCTGCGCAGCCCGCTGACGCTCATCGACCTGGTGGCCATCCTGCCCTACTACGTCACCCTGCTGGTGGACGGCGCCGCCGCCGCCGGCCGCCGCAAGCCCGGCGCGGGCAACAGCTACCTGGACAAGGTGGGGCTGGCGCTGCGCGTGCTGCGCGCGCTGCGTATCCTCTACGTGATGCGCCTGGCGCGCCACTCGCTGGGGCTGCAGACGCTGGGGCTCACGGCGCGCCGCTGCACGCGCGAGTTCGGCCTCCTGCTGCTCTTCCTGTGCGTGGCCATCGCGCTCTTCGCCCCGCTCCTCTACGTCGTCGAGAACGAGATGGCCGACAGCCCCGAGTTCACCAGCATCCCCGCCTGCTACTGGTGGGCCGTCATCACCATGACGACCGTGGGCTACGGGGACATGGTCCCCAGGAGCACGCCGGGCCAGGTGGTGGCGCTGAGCAGCATCCTGAGCGGCATCCTGCTCATGGCCTTCCCGGTCACCTCCATCTTCCACACCTTCTCGCGCTCCTACCTGGAACTCAAGCAGGAGCAGGAGCGCGTCCTGTTCCGCAGGGCGCAGTTCCTCATCAAGACCAAGTCGCAGCTCAGCGGCGTGTCCCAGGACAGCGACATCCTGTTCGGAAGCGCCTCCTCCGACGCCAGAGCCCCGCGCTGAGCCCCGGAGAAGCCGCTTCGGAGGGCACCAGGCCCGGGGGGGGGGGGGGGGGGTGGCGCGCCCGGCCCGCCCCGGCTGCTTTCCCCGCGCGCCCCGCCCCTGCCTGCTGCCCTCACTAAGGACGCGGCTTCTCCTTCCCACCCTGCGACCCCTGCGCCTGGCGAAGGCTGGCTTCGTGGGGCTGCCCGCAGAGAAAAATACAGCAAGAGCAGCGACCTCGCGGCTGCCTGTCCGTGTGTCCGTGTGTCTGTCCTTCTTCGCATGGCCTCCGAGGACAGGAAATTGATAACGGGAGGAAACTCCCTCCCTGGCGCTCTTTTGGAGTCAAGATTCCCAGCGGGGACCTCAGGCGGGGGGCTGCAGGAGAAGGTGTTTCGGGGTCCCGCATAATTGGGGGGCAGTGAGGCTGGGGGGGCAGGCCTCGGGCTGTTGCGGCTCAGGAAGGCCCTGCCTGTCTGGGCCCCCACCTCCCAGCCCTGTCCTCTCCCTTATCCCTCCCATCTTCCCTTCTCTTTTGTGTCTTGACCTTTGCCCCCAGAGGCATCCCAGCAACCTCTTAGCGTTGCTCATGGCAATGCAAAGTGGCTCCGAATCCTCTTTAAAAGCCAGGGTGCATTTTCGGTTCTACTCCACATTTATTCTAGTGTTTGGGTGGGGCGAGGCGGGGGGTTTACACGGTTCTCCTGGATCCACATCTAAACGGCCAGTGGAGCTATTGTTCCAGGCGGGGCGTCCCTGGCCCTAGAGCCGTCTGAGAGGCACAGACACAAGTCCTGCAAGGCCTCCCCGTGTCCCCCACGGGACCTGGACCAGCCTCCCCATAAAGGTAGTGGGGGTGAACATGTCGGGAGGGACTGCCCGGTAGTTCTGCCTCAGCTGGCGGGGATCGGAGCTCTGGGGAGGGGGCATAGGGAGTGTCTTCATGCCCTGTCCTCCTTGTTGGTTGACCATGACATAGAGGATAAAGACCAGCGTCCCAGTGCCAGGCCCTGCCCTGCTCCCTATCCCCCCCCCCCCCGCCCCGTCCTGGGTAAGGTGGCCACAGCTGCCTCAGCACGGGATCCACCTGGTGACGCGGAGTGGAAATATCATCCAAGTCCCGAGGGCCCCATTAGAGACTCCCCTGGCACCTGCTTCCCATGACGCACGTCCGGAAAGTATGTTTTCCGGCTAATTAGCTCTACCTGGCCCAGCCTAGTGGGTGTCATAGAGATCGGGCACTGGTGTCACCATAATCACGCCTGAGATTTATGGAATGACCTTTTTTTCTCCCCTCGGAAGTGGCTGTGAGAGGCGGGGCCGCTGACAGTGCTAAACAGATGGAAATATAATGTGGTAAGAACTAGGAAATGGAACCTTTTAAGACTCAGGGGAGCGGGAAAGCAAATGCCACTTGGAGGTAGCAAAGGGAGTGCCTGACAGAGCAGCAGTGCTGGGAGGGCAGCCTCGTGCCCCAGGTGCTGAGGGCGGGGCGGGGCCGTGCCGGGAAGCGGCTGGGTGTCGGGGTTTCTGACCTGTCTCGCAGATTCTGGCCCGTCCTGGTGACCAAGGCAGAGGCGTGGATCAGGGACCCCGCAGACCCTCACTGGGGCCAGGGGAGGGGGTGCCCCAGATCCAGACCCTCACCCTGGAGTGGGGCTTAGGGGGTCCCGGGCCCTAATTAAGAATCCAGAGGCTTCAGGGTACCTCACAGGCTCCTTCGAGGCTTTTCAAGAGTGTGGATTTTCCACGTTTATTCTCAGCGGAACCTGTTTCTCCTGTGGAATCTGGTGCAGAAAGCCCAGCTACGAATCAGGTGGAAATAGCATCTCTGGTCAAAGTGTGGAGCAGGATCCTCAGGGGGCCTCAGTTCTGAGCCTTGTGCAGTTCCCTCTCTACACCCTGGGGGGCGCTGTGTGGCCATCACCGCTCTGGGGGAGGCAGCCGCATGGCCCTCTGGGGTCCCAGAGCATCCCTGACGCTTAGCCCAGTGCTTTTCCAGGACTCACAGTGGGGGAGGATGGGAAGGCTGATTTAGCAATGCAGATTCTCAGGCCCCACCTCTCAGCAGGGCTGGAGCTAAGGCAAAGTCAGCAAGGCACTAGCCCTGGGCACAAAATTTTACTGGGGATGGGGGAGGGGAGCCAAAAAACTCAGTCCTGGAGACAAACGGCATTCCAGTGCAGATTTTTTTTTTTTTTTTTTTTTTGACAGGCAGAGTGGACAGTGAGAGAGAGAGACAGAGAGAAAGGTCTTCCTTTGCCGTTGGTTCACCCTCCAATGGCCGCCGCGACCGGCGAGCTGCGGCCGGCACACCGCGCTGATCCGATGGCAGGAGCCAGGTGCTTCTCCTGGTCTCCCATGGGGTGCAGGGCCCAAGTACTTGGGCCATCCTCCACTGCACTCCCTGGCCACAGCAGAGAGCTGGCCTGGAAGAGAGGCAATCGGGACAGAATCCGGCGCCCCAACCGGGACTAGAACCCGGTGTGCCGGCGCCGCAAGGTGGAGGATTAGCCTAGTGAGCCGCGGCGCCAGCTCCAGTGCAGAATTTTTAAAAATGCTGTCAAAAAAAAAAGTCCATGGTGAACAAAAGTCTAAGTAACGCCAGGGGCTGTTCTCCACTTGGGTGACTGGGTCTCACCCGCCCCAGCCTAGCGCCCGTCTGGTCCCGATGCCCCTCGTTCTCCCCTGAGACACCTCTGATCGGCCACGGGCAAGGCTCCAAAGAAGCAGAGGTGGAGCCTTTCCCACCTGTTCCCGGTGGCTGCTGAGGCATGGAGGCCCCACCCCGTGGACGGGGGTCCCGGTAGGCACGAGCTCCATGGACAACCCCACCCTCACCGCCAGGCCACAAGATGCCTTCCGCTGGGATGATGCCTCCCCTGCGAGACAGGGTCCCCATCAGCACCCTTGCACTTCAGATCAAGCGGCTGAGGAATTGCCACGAGACGTGCCTCGGCAGCCGTAAAGCCGAGCCTGAAAGGGTCTTTCCATTTCTTTCTGCAGAGAACCGGCTGTTTACCCAAATGACCTATAGCAGCCCAAGCTCACTTTGCTGAAACACATTTAAAGTCAACAACTGGACTTTTAAAACAAAGCCCAGGATGGTGCTGGTTTTCCACCACGTTTGTGCTTCCTTAGATGGGGGACCCCAAAAAGAAGCCCTTAGACTCTTCCTGCAAATGAGGAGCCCCCTTCATGGGGGGACGGTGTCTCCATGGAGATAACCGAACAGGAGATGCCTCAGCACAGGAGTGCGAGGGCCTCATGGTGGACATGACAGCTACTTGGCAATGACCTTCAACTGAGGTCCTAGAGATGCTATAGGGCCGGGAGGGGCTCCAGCAGAAGTGGACCCAAGCTATGGAGTCGCATCCCACCCAGGCTGCTGAGTTGTTCAGCTTCCCACAGGGAACACAAACACTAAGATTTGCCGTCTTCCACTGAAGGCTGGATTGGCCTATCTACTGCCCCCACACCCACAGCAGGTGCTGGCCAGAGCCCAGGACTGCAAGCTCAGTTCCCAGCACCCCTGGTGCCTCAGTGGTAGACACCACCAGTTGCTGACTTCAAAACTGCCCCCCAAGCTTCCCCCACCCAAGTTCCCCCGTGCGTGCCCAATGCTGGGATTTATGCCAAACTCAGCAATCCCATCAGCCTTTGCCAATGAGACATGGGGGCGGGGGGGGGGCATGTGACCCAGTCCTGGTCAGTGAGACCCCAGGGGAACTCTGCGTGAGATTGCCCAGGCAAAGCTTCCCTCTGAAAAGGGACATTCAAAAAGTGTATATATATTTGGGAGGCAGAGTGGCACAGGAGAGGCAGACACCAAGAGCGCTCTTCCATCTGCTGGTTCACTCCCCAAATGGCCACAACAGCCAGCTCTTGGCCAGACTGAAGCTGGGGGCCAGGAACTCCATCAGGGTCTCCCACGAGTGTCGGGGCCATCAGCCACTGCCTTCCCAGGAGCACGAGCAGGGCTCTGGGTCAGAAGTGGGGCAGCCAGGACTTGAACTGGTGCTCATATTGGATGCAGGCATCCCTGCTGATGCACCTGGAAAAGCAGCAGAAGATGGCCCCGGAGCGTGGGCCCCGGCACCCACATAGGAGACTCAGATGGAGGTCCTGGCTCCTGACTTCAGCCTGGCCCAACCCCAGGTGTTGTGGCCATTTGAAGAGTGAACCAGTGGATGGAAGAGCTGTGTGTGTGTGTGTGTGTGTGTGTGTGTGTGTGTCTAACTTTGCCTTTCAAATACATAAAATCTAATACAAAAGTTGGACTTCACACCCTTCCAACAGGCCCACTGGTCTTTAGCAGAGTCCACCTGCAAAGCGGCCTTCCTCTAAGCCTCGCTGTTGTGTGAGGGTCACATCTGGGGCAGCAGAGAGGAGTGAAAGCCCTGGGACAAGCGGAGGGACCGGGGTTTTGGAGCCAGGGAAGCTCAGGTCGGATTCCCCAGCAGGTCGCTGCCTTGGTGCCTGACCCTGGGCAAGCTACCGGGCCTCCCAGCACCTCCAGTTCTTTCTCTGTAAAAGCGGAACAAGAACACCCACCTCACATGAGGATGTGACAAAACACAGCACACAGGTCACCCAGAACGGAGTCTGCTGGCTCAGGGCACAGTAGCCGTTGCTGCCCCTGGGAATTAATCCACGAGAGCTCCCCGGCTGCCCTGGGAGGGGTCTGCGCAATGGACCGTTCACACAAGATGGCAGGGGACACGCCGCAGCCCCGCTTCGCAGAGCTGTGCCAGGGACTCTCACACGCCCCGCGTTTGCCTGCCCGCGGAGGCTGCTCATTGCAAATGCGCTTTCACACTTCGTCACAGCAGACTTGGCAGGCGCACGATTGGGAGAACTTTTCATTAGCAGTTAGATAATGAATGTGGGGGAGCCACAGGGCTGCAGACTCCCCGGCATCCAGACAACACGCCCAGTCTTCCCCCACCGCCACGGCCGGAACCCCGGGGGCCAGGGTGTGCTCTCTCTGTTGAAAGTCATGGCTCTGGCCACTGAGGAGGGAGTAATGGGTGTCCACCCTTCTGGGCAGCAGCATAGGGTGGAATAAAGGGCTGGACGCCGTGCCTGGATCCTGCTCCTAGCATTCAATAACTGGGTGGCCTTGGGCAAGGTACTGAAGTTCCCTGAGCATTGCTCTTCCCATCTGGAAAATGGGCATGATGATCACACTTCCCTCCGAGCACTGTGGGGATGGGGAGAGGAGTTGATTTGGGGAGGAGGGAGTTTCTTGAGGCTG